TAAATGTGAGACATTCACGATAGACGCGATACAACCGTTTATATCATACATTGAGACCTACTTTTGTGACTATAGTGTTAAAAAGGCGTTCAAAACACGCATACATTTGTTGTTATTTTCTTTTTATATGTTTATCGGCCGTCACTTATATGCCGTCCATTAGCCGTCATTAGCGCACAGACAGCACCAACTCTTCATCAATGGTAAGCCTACCCATCACCTCACTTCACCTCACCTGGATCACTCCAAACCACAGTTTCCTAGTTTTTTTTATCCAGTTCTTATATTTGTGTAAACTTTATGAAAACTTTCCTAAACTTGATTTCAAAGTGTGAAATGAATAGTGAAACCATTGATAGGAATATTGTGATAGGAATACAGTTAAGTGTTGAATACATTTATGGACTAATAGTTTGACAGAATTTGTCACAAACTCATAGGAAATGTATTGTCCGGATGGCAGCCAAAGGGTTTCGTAGGTTTTTATTGACACATAAGTTAAGTGTTTGTTTGGTTTGATTAGTGATTAGTGATTAGTTTCGGTTGAATCCAATTCACGCCATTTTTTGAGCCAAAATGTCATATAATTGACTGCATTTGTCGTGATTTGTCGTCAGAGACGGCACTCATTAGTGATTTGTCATTCATTTCTCACTCATTCACTCTCCCATTCACTCTCCCATTCACTCTCCCATTCACTCTCCCATTGTATTTGCATTTCACTCTCAACACCAACTATTTTTTGGTTTAGGTTTCCATTACTTTGTTTAGAAAATAGTATTTCCTTTCATCCGATTCAATGATATATCATTCACTCTCCCATTCACTCTCCCATTGTATTTGCATTTCACTCTCAACACCAACTATTTTTTGGTTTAGGTTTCCATTACTTTGTTTAGAAAATAGTATTTCCTTTCATCCGATTCAATGATATATTGATATCAATATGCAGTCAAATAGTGAAACAAAAGCAAAGTCTACTAAATGTGACCATTTTAGAAACAATTTGTAATAAAAAATGATATATTCTTATCAAAACAGATAATAACTATTAATATACTCTATATATAACTTAAATAATTGTTGCCAAAGTTATTGTTCAAATCAAAGATTAGTCGAAAATTGCTACATTTTTGTTCAACACATGTGTAATACTAATACAAATAAACATTAAATTCTTTAATAGATTGAGTTTATATTTAGAGTTGTCTATTGTTTGCAATTCATTCAAATTCAATGTCGATTTCATTTAAATATTGTCTTACATTTGGCAACACTTTTAAGAAATGACAGTTTTTTGTATTTAATTTATTGGTCATTAAATCTAATTATTTCACAACTTTTACAATTATATTGTGTTTAAATCAGTTGTAATCCCGTTATATTGATTATAATTTATTTAATATTCTGTGATTTTTGACATAATATCAGAAATAGAGAGTAAGTATTAGAAATAGGAATGATTTCTAAGATTTCATAAATTGTTTGATTTATTCATTGAAATCATAAGAATATAGAGAATTGAGTGGAAATATTGGTGAGAGATGTGAGCGAATGTGTGTCTATTGTATTGAATGTAATGTTTTCTTGTCATGCGTTTAAAGTAACAAAAACTCAAATATGAAACTCTTTTCTCTTTAATATTTGTTATATTAATGTTTGTCTCGTTATTCTTAACTCATTTTCTTTGGTTTTTGTTTAAATGAAATCTAAATAATTGACAAAATTATTCATTTAGTTATGATTTCGTCAATTGTTGAACAATTATTGAATTTATTTCAAAAATTGAATATTAGTTGAAAATGATTTTTGCTTTAAAGTGCTTTCAAATTGAACTAAACTTTTGAAGAGTTGTTTAGAGAAAGTTTGAATATCTGTTGAAATGTGTATTAATTGGATGTTATATGAATGAAGTGATGGAAAGTAATGAATTATATGTATGTAATAGGACTCATGATATCAGTTGCTGACAATTGAATGGGTGAGAGGGAAGTGACCACAACTATCACAACTCATAGGCATCGATGGCTTTCAAGCATAAGGAGAAACAGAGAGGTAAGCATCACTACCATAACATACCATACATACCATCACTAGTTTACTGTTAAATTACACATCCATTTATGACTCACACAAACATACTATAAATCTTTTAATTATTTCACTAATAGTACAAAAGACAAGAATTTGTGATTATATTGTATATGTTGTATATCCCATAAAACTTAGTTGTTTGTCTCGGTTTCATATATTGATGCAATCAATTGTTAAGAGGTTTGAATCAGAATTTGAAAGTCATTTCCGATGGTAACCTTTTTAATTAATTAAACAATTTTATTTAATATATGCAATGATTATGCTATTAATATAAGTTAAGATAAATGTGATGTTAGATCTCTTTGACAATGTATTCTCTGGTATTTGTTTAACAATCAAAACATTTAATCGTTTTAAGTGATAGATAAACAAGCAAACAAACGTGATGTGCGGTTTGTTTGAGTTCACCACAAATACCTGGGAAGCCGTAAATTCAATCTTAAGTTATGAAATTAAAATATTTTTATATGAAAATGAAAAAACCGTAATTTATAATGACATGAAAAAAGAAATTTAATGAAACATATAATACAATAGTTTAGACTTAATTTGAAATATTGGTTGTTATATCAGTATGGCATCGTTGGTATGCACGGGTATTGTAATTATGGTGATATAGCGTATAGTGTAGTAAAGTTAGCAGTTCTTCATAGATGTGTTGTGCAGAGTCTATGAGTGCCTTATATTGTTCATAGTCTTCATCTCAATCCACACCCAAAACGAGAAGAGAGTTAAGGGCGGAGTGCATGAGATGTTCCCAAACATCAAATATTTATTGAGGTTTGAGGTAAAAACCAAATGCTGTCAATATGTTTGACACAAATCCCGCACCATATATGAAACCAAAATGAGTTCAGACATCACTTTTCAACACTGTTTTGCGAATCAATTCTTTGAAACATTATTTTAATTATTAAAAACCTTACGAAACGTTGGATTGAGTGATTGAATTGAAGTTCATTCAAGTGATTCTTCACCCCTTACTACACAATACTATCATATCATAAGTTTTCCGATTTATTCTCACTATTTATCCTTATTTTGAACAACAAAAACTATTATCAATTTACAGAATATCTATCCATAAAATCTCTTGCATTAGAGGGTTTTCATTATTATTGGGTTCTAATGTTTTTTGTACAAGTTATTAACTTTAATTTTAAATTCTGTGTCATATTTAATTCTATAGAAAGACATTTGATATGCTTTAAAATAGAGTAGCTTTTCATGAATATGCGATTACATGTGTAGTTATTAGTACCATTTTATTGTTTACATAAATGTGAACAATTTATTAAAGAATTTTTAAAATATAATTTTTATTCATTATAGAAATTTTAAAGAATTAATTTTAGTTGCCAAATAATTGATCAAATATTAAATGAATGAGCTTAAATAACTATTTTAATTACTTTAAGTGATGATTATTTAAAGCAATTTTGTAATTATAAGTTAAATCATACAATTTTATTATTATATTTTAATATAAAAATATTTTAATCATTTATTGAATGGACATATTTTACTCAAATCACTGCCTCTTTCATTGACTTTAATAAGAGTCGGGCGTTGTTTCATAAGTCAATGTTTCAGTAGTTATTATAACCCAATCATAACAATCAGTCACAATATGTGAATTAAACATTATTTACCATAATTTAACATTTTATTTATTCTGAGGTGCACTTCAATAAAACAAACAATGATTTTATTTTATTGTATTCATATTTTATAATTTTTCACGAATTCAAAAAAGTTTATATAAACCATTTGATTCAAGATGATTTTTTAAATAAAATTAATAGATTCTTGATGTCTTAAGCTTTTTGAATTAATATTTAAATTCTCCTTATACTATACAGTGTATGATTTTGTTAGCTGGATAATTTTTTATTAATATTAATATTATATTTAAATATTTTCCATCGCTCTACCATTCATATACTACTTATTTGTTAGTCTCTATAAAATTAATTTTTTAAATGCTCTTAAATAATTTGTTTTTATTTTACAAAATCTATAAACATTCTACTTGTTGTTAACATCTATAAATCTATAAACATTACCCTGTTTATTCAGTTATTAACTTAATTCTAAATTTAACTAAAGAATTCTTATAAAACTATTGGCCAATACTGTATACTGGTAAAAATATATAATTCAGAATTTTCATAATCTTTCTAAGAATAAATTTAGTACCGGTACAAATACTCGTATTAATGAAAAAGCAATTGATTGGTTGGTTATGTTGTTAAACTTATGAAACACTTAGTAGCTCTTATTATAATGCAAATTACTATAGATTCTAGTCTATAGTATAGAATGTATTTTACAGCCAATATATTTATTAAATATTGTTTGTGTGAAATACTATTGAAATAACACTATTTGTTAGATTCAATGCCAAGTTCTTAACGTATGAGATATTCATGAATTGTATTAATCAATAAAATGTTTTGTGTTGTTATGAAATTGCGATCACAAAACAAATCTCTTATACGAAACACTCTTAAGTCACTAAGCGATACAACAAAACATTTCTTATATATAATGATCTGAATTCATCATTTTTGACAAATAATTTAATTGAACAGAATTTATGCAGTTTTGCCTTTGTTTTCAAAAATATTGATAATTCTTGTCTTAACGATATGTTAAAACTTTATTAATAATTAAAACTAATTAACTAACATGGAGAATATTTGACAAGAATATTCTTTATAAAAAAAAGTGTCAATTGGTTTGTAAACGAATTCTATTAATATTTGATATCTACCAAGATCACATGTTAATAGATTTGCATAAAATGGAAGGTTTTATAGACATTTTCTTGCAATTATTTTTTAAGAATTTATTTTCTATAAGTTAATGAATCATCTAATGAAAGCTAATCAATAATAAAATGTACACAATAAATTAAATGCATATCTCTTTCTTGACACTTTTGTATATTTGTAATTCATGGCAATGAATATAAGTTAATATTTCTCAAGATAATTATCATTAAATATCATTAAAGTGAAATAGAAATTACAAATTGATTCTTTAAACTTATTATTATACTCAAAGAATTTGTAAATTTCTTTCACTTTTAGTTTGTAAAATATTGCTTTGTTATAATGAAATTTATACATTTTTATTTTTATCAGAAATTAAAGGTTATTATATTATTATTGTACATGGAAATTCAATCAATAGCTTGAATATTACCGGTAATGTGTAAAACAATTTAGTTTATTTTAACAAACAAGTTTATTTTATAATTTGAATATCGATTCAAAGATAAATAGTAGTTAATTATATTCATGTATCGAATATTAAAATAATTAAATAGTAGTTATAGTTGATGATTTCTATTATGTTTGTAAATTTTTTAAATGTCAAGCAATTCATATATTTGTTATGATGTTATTGTGATGAATCAAGTTTTAATTGATATAAATTAATAGCAACTATTTACCGTACTAATTATGATGTAAGTTACAATAAACTTAACAATCCATTCATTTATTAAAATGTTTAGTTTTATTTTCTTTATTTCAATCATACCACAAGTGATATTTATGTACTCTTATGACCACTAATTGTTTTTATTCCTATTATTGGTTTGAAAGTAAACACAATTAATATATGAATTCATACAAAACGATACCAAAAATATATGATAAATATTATATTCACTCATTGATAAAACAAATAAATAAATCACTAAAATATTAATGTCTTGTTATGTAGGAGTTCTTCGTTTAAAATAATTGAATTTTGTTGATATTATGTCTTTTTGGGCTATATTTTCATTCTTTCAAATAAATAGCTTATAATTGTAGACACGAAACATGACTCTGGGTTATTTTCATTCATACATTAATGCGTTAAAAATTTGAAACGCTATTCACTATTAGACAAAATAGTAAAATATTTAAATAATTGATATATTTATAGAATTAGTATTTATTTATAACTTATAAGTAAATTTGACAATAATGCTAATGAATGGCTAATGAAATGATTGTTTGTTTATGTTTTACAGAAACTGAAAGAAGAATCCGAGCAAATGATCCCATATTTAACTCAAAATTCAATTATGCCGTAAGTATTACTTAATGATTGCATTCATTGAAAACTCTTTTAGAAGACTTTTGGTTATCAATAAAAGATCACTCATTGACTCATTTTTAAAGACATCCAATCAATAGAAAGCTATCGAAAGTAATAATAAGATTGATTGTCGAAAGAGATCTGACTTTTTTTCAATAATTTTGCTAAAACGCGGCACAAGAGAAAGAATTGAGCACTTGATTGGGTGGGGCTTTCATTTCAATTCTCTATTATCTTTTTATGCAAGTATTATACCTAATGGTTGTAAAGCAAGACTTGTCTTGACTTGAGGTGTGATTTATGGAACACTTTTCATGAATAGACAATCGTTTGTCTTTTGGCCTCAATTCGCCTCTAATTCTGACTTATATTCTGTACATATTCTGTACTTATATTCTGTATATTCGCTAACAATTATCGCATACAGTAATTGTGATTATATTCACTATTTGTCGCACAGAATAATTACATCAAGACTTCGAAGTATAGTCTGTTGACATTCCTCCCCCTCAACCTCTTCGAGCAGTTCCAAAGACTCGCAAATTTCTATTTCCTTTGTCTTCTCATACTTCAGGTATTATTGAATAGTTTTAAAGAATTTCTAGACTGAAAGCTAATGATCGGGTTGTGAATTGACTGATCACTTGACAGGTAATTCCCTACATATCTTCCTTAACACCAGTGGCAACAGCAGTGCCTTTGATTGTTGTGCTGACACTAACGGCACTCAAAGATGCTATCGATGACATCGTAAGTCTGTCAATGTCTGCAATTAGATACCAATAATCACTCACTCTTTTAAACGATAACTTTAAAGCAAAGACATAGAAGTGATAATCAGATCAATAATCGTCTCTCAAAAGTGCTACGAAACGGAAAGGTAGCTGAAGAGCGCTGGTATAAAGTACAGGTCGGAGACATCGTTCTCATGGAAAATGACAATTTCGTTGCCGTAAGACTTAATGCATTATTTACTCCGTCAGACATTTATTGATTTAATTGTTTTGAAGGCCGACCTCTTAATGCTATCCACCAGTGAACCCAACGGTCTTTGTTATGTGGAAACAGCAGAACTGGACGGGTATTGCATTGCTTTTTAATTAATTTTCTTTTTATAGTTACAAAAATACATAAGTAAAGTATAATATGAATTTTTAATACAATATAATAACTAATTTATAATATATTCATGCATTGATTTGATTTGTGTAATAAAAACAAAGCGAAACGAATTTGAAGTGCAGACAAGCCATACCGGAAACCTCTGAACTTGGGGATGATATTCATTTGCTCAGCAGGTTTAATGGTATGACCACATTAATGACATTTCAATTGATATCATAACTAATACTAATTGCTGTCATTAAAGGCGAGATGATCTGTGAGCCGCCCAATAATAATTTGACTCGTTTTGAGGGGACTCTTCATTATAACGGACAGACCTTTTCTGTAGACAACGACAAAATGCTTTTGAGAGGCTGTCGACTGCGGAACACTAAATGGTGTTTTGGTGTTGTCGTGTTTGCCGGTTAGCTCTCTCTCTGTCTCTCTCTCTCTCTCTCTTTAATTCATTCTCCACGTCCTCGTACTCCCAGCCCTCTATCGTAAACGTGTCCACCATTTNTCTCTCTCTCTCTCTCAACATCTTTACACCAGTTTTAAACATTTGTTTTATTTGAAAATACAGGCAGAGACACAAAACTGATGCAAAATAGCGGAAAGACTATATTCAAGCGAACAAGTCTTGACAGACTATTAAATCTATTAATTTTAGGGGTAATTATAATTATAATATTATTACAGTATTAAGTTGTCTAATATTTTAATTACTATTGATTTATCTTTTATAACACTTCTTAGATCGTATTCTTCTTAATATCGATGTGTCTGTTCTGTACGATAGCCAGTGGTGTTTGGGAGACAGTGACGGGACAATACTTCAGGGCATACCTACCCTGGGATACGATAGTACCAGCTAATCCGAAAAGTGGTGCGACTGTCATAGCAGTCCTCGTGTTCTTCTCGTACGCAATAGTCCTCAATACAGTGGTTCCCATCTCTCTGTATGTGAGCGTCGAAGTGATCCGCTTTTGTCACTCATTGTGGATCAATTGGGATGAGAAGATGTATTACTCGATCACAGACGTGGCGGCAAAGGCCAGGACTACTACTTTAAACGAAGAGTTGGGACAAATTCAGTACATATTCAGTGATAAGACGGGAACATTAACTCAGAATATCATGACTTTCAACAAGTGTTCCATTGGTTCCAATCTTTACGGCGAAGTCTTGGATGAGATTACTGGCGAACCGTTAGAGATAACTGAAGACATGGTTTCGGTTGACTTTTCCGGTAATGCCTTATATGAGGAGTCCTTCAAATTCTACGACCAGACACTTCTCGATGAAATAAATGGCGGCAATAAAGAGGTTCAGGAGTTCTTTAAGCTACTGGCGCTCTGCCATACAGTGATGTGTGAAGAAAAAGACGGCAAACTTGAATACCAGGCGCAGTCACCCGACGAGGCGGCCCTCACTTCTGCCGCTCGAAACTTCGGTTTTGTATTTCGGGTACTATTTAGTGAATTTCATAAATGATATGAAATGATATAATATATTGTGTTTCGTGAATAGAGCCGAACGCCGACGAGTATAACGATTGAAGAATTGGGCAAAACTGAAGTCTACGAACTCTTAGCTATTCTTGACTTTAATAACGTTCGCAAACGAATGTCTGTAAGTGTTTGAAAAACTATAAAATGTATTTTTGTTTGTCTATTGAATGGTAACTAAGAGTTTGTTTGGTGTTTGAGGTGATAATTCGTAAAAACGGGAAAATCCTTCTCTACTGCAAAGGCGCCGATACTGTGATATTCGAGAGAATGGACGCGAGTTGTGCCGAACTAAAGCTGAATACTGTCGACCACTTGAATAAGTTCGCCGGAGAAGGGCTCAGAACTCTGTGTTTGGCGAAGAAAGAGCTCGACTCTCATTACTACGACCAGTGGAAGGAAAGGCTCCACTCGGCCGCCACTTCTATGGAGAACAGGGAGGAGAAGGTGGATGCGGTCTACGAAGAAATTGAACAAAACCTTATACTTGTCGGCGCCTCAGCTATAGAAGACAAACTACAAGACGGTGTCCCGCAATGTATCGCTAATTTAGCGGCCGCTGGCATTAAGCTCTGGGTTTTAACCGGAGATAAACAGGAAACGGCTATTAATATAGGTATGGATATTACGAGTGTGTGATGAAGTTGTATGAATTATTTAGTTACCATATATTGTGTGAAATATGAAAATAGGTTATAGTTGTCAGTTATTAACTGATGAAATGGTGGACACGTTTACGATAGAGGGCTGGGAGTACGAGGACGTGGAGAATGAATTAAAGAGATGTCGAGAGAACATCGCAAATGTCATGAGTCACTCATACGGCGCCACCGATTTAAATGTGGTGTCATTTCGTGGCAATAATTTGAGTCCAAACGACAATAATTTGATGAATCGAGTGAACGATAGATACGAGAACAGAGCGAGTGCTCCAAACGCCAGTCCCATCGAAGTGAACGAAACCGATTCGTTCGGCGGATTCGCTCTCGTCATCAACGGTCACAGTCTTGTTCACGCACTGCAACCAAAGATGGAACTCCTATTCCTGGACGTGGCCTCCAATTGCAAGGCTGTCATCTGCTGTCGGGTCACACCTCTCCAGAAAGCACTGGTCGTCGATCTCGTCAAACGGCACAAGAAAGCCGTCACTCTAGCCATCGGTGACGGCGCTAACGACGTCAGTATGATTAAGAGTAGGTCGACCCTCTCTCCCATCTCTTCGACCATTTGATAATATTTTTTATGATTTTATAATTAGCCGCACATATCGGTGTCGGGATCAGTGGACAGGAAGGTAAGGCATATGGAGCACCCACTTATTGATGAGATACTGTATATTAAATGAATGTGTATTTGTATGACAGGAATGCAGGCCGTCCTGTCGAGTGACTTTTCTATCGCACAGTTCCGGTTCTTAGAGCGCCTACTCCTAGTGCACGGCCGATGGTCTTACTTCCGAATGTGTAAATTTCTTCGGTATTTCTTTTACAAGAACTTTGCGTTCACTCTCTGCCACTTCTGGTACGCCTTTTTCTGTGGGTTCTCCGCACAGGTATCACACGTTTTGCTCATTTGAATCAAATTTGAAGCGTTAATCCAAATGCATTCTAACCGTACAGACGCTCTACGATCCGGCTTTTATATCGTTTTACAATGTATTTTACACATCACTACCGGTGCTCGCACTGGGCATCTTTGATCAGGACGTTGACGATCGCATATCACTTCGTTATCCATTACTGTATACTCCGGGCCATTTGGATCTCTTATTCAACAAAATAGAATTCCTCAAAAGTGTCGCTCACGGAATCGTATCATCTTTTATACTATTCTTCATCCCTTACGGCGCCTTCAAGAATGCTGTCGGACCCGAAGGCATCAATTTGGACGGCCATCAGATCTTTGGGACAGTCGTCTCGACGATTCTGGTTCTAGTCGTGACCGCTCAAGTATGTCACCCCCTTTGCCAACAGTAGTTTACTTGAAATGTGATTAGTATTGCAATAAACATGAATGTATTTCGTTGTATTGAACGGACAGATAGCTTTGGACACCTCCTACTGGACAGTATTCAACCATATCGTGATCTGGGGAAGTGTCGCCTTCTACTTCGCGATGACTCTATTCATTAACAGTAATCTGATTGGAAACCAATACTTGGGTTGCCTTCGCATGACTCTGAGCTCCGGTCAGTTCTGGTTCACACTGTTCCTGGTGTTGGCCATTCTGTTGGTGCCCGGAGTGGCCAATCGCTTCTACCACACGTCAGTGCACCCGACCCTTAGTGACAGGTGTCGCTACAAACAGCGAATCTCCCGAATGAGGGCCAGACCTGAGCCGCAGATGAGGCGCAGGAGTTCTGTGCGAAGGAGTCGTCGCTCTATCCGTTCGGGGTATGCCTTCTCACACCAGGAGGGCTTCGGACGCCTCATAATGAGCGGCAAAATCATGAAACAACACAAATCCAAAGCTCATCCCAACGCCAATAGCCT